GGTGAGCGCCCCGGCAGCCGGGTCCCCCCGGACAGGGGCACCCGTCTCCCGTCAGCGCCTCCCGCCTGCTCGTGGCCACCGTCGACTCTCAGCTTCCGTAATCCGGAAAGAAAGAAAACAGAGCAAAAGGGAAGCTTTTAATTGGAATTTACTTTATTATTTTGTAAATGTGAATTTTACAAAGCGTTTTACAATTAATGATCACATTGGGTTTTTTTTTTTTTAATGGATTTTTCATCATATGAAAACAGCTATGAGCACAGTTCCAACTGGGGGGGGGTGTCTTAATTTTTTTTTTTTTAAGTTACTGATACATTGTGTCAGCCATGGCTACAAAATAACAGTCTTAACTATACAGAGTAAGAGCACATAAATACTAGTGAATAATGCACGATAAAAAAAAGCTAGCATCTTTCGTGGCTGAGACAGTTGAGAAACATAATTCAGTGGTACTGTGAGATTCTTCTTACAGCACAGAAAGTATTTTTAACAGTCATGAATTACAGTACTACTTAATACCCTATGAAGACGTTTTAAAAACAACCTTGTACTTTAAGTCCTTTTTCCCAAACATTCTGTCCAAAGGATTAATGTTCTATTTGAATCAAGTGCCATCCAAATGTTCAAGTCAAAAATATTTATACATTTATACTTAGTTGTTTTTTTATTTATTTTTGTCTGCTAAAAATAGTATTGCAAGTTTTGGCTTTTCTTTTTGACATAAAAATCACAATCGTGTGCAAAACGCGTAACAGTGGAAGAAACTCGTCAGAACACTTGAGGGTTTTCCAATTTGAGTGCTTTAGACTTCAGCATATCCGGGTTAGTTACTGTTGGGGTATTTTTGCTTGTTTGTTTGCTTGAAGACCCTCGTTTTTAGAGTCACTTTACAGCAAGCCCTGAATACCTTGGGCCCGGAAACGTGCGCGCTTGGCGCTTGCTTGCTGACATAATGACAAATTTATACAGCAGGAACACTTTGAAACAGTAGTTGAAGCCCAAGACAGCTATGAACTCTCAATTTGGTGTTTCGAATTTACTGCCGGGAGAAGCAAAGCGGGGCTGTCTCTGCGTTTGCAGTTGGTTAATGGGCCATACACCCTTCTCCACTCGCAGCAAGTCATTTCCATAAAAATAAGCAATCTGAACAAAACCTTAGCAGTAAAAACGACTGAGGAAATGCATCAGTCCTTTGCCGGATACCACGTCTACGATGCTCTGGTCCTTTAAACGAGTGTTAAGCCATGAGCAATTCCAGTTTTGCGCTTGCTAATAAAGCAGCACTCGGTTAAGTCGGACCCTTTTTGCTCCGCCTGCACCAAAGCGCTGGGCCACGCGCGAGGACCCCAGGGAGACGAAACGCCAGGAGCACGCCGGCTCAGCGGAGGTGCCCGGGAGCGGAGCGTGGCCGCCTCGGCCCCGCAGGACCAGACCGGAGACACGGTTTTGCCAGCTGGGAAATACTGAGCCAACAAAGTGGCTCAGGACCCATTTCTACCGCTTGGACTCACCGTGGTCCAGCTGGCATCATTGGGAACCGCTGGCCCCAGAGGGACCAGGGTGCCCCGGCATCGCGAGAACTGCTGGCCCCAGAGGGACCGGGGTGCACCAGCATCGCGGGAACCGCCGGCCCCAGAGGGACCGGGGCGCCCCAGCATCGCGGGAACCGCCGGCCCCAGGGGGATCGGGGCGCACGAGCA